GCTTATCAATAAAATGTGTATAGTACTGGCATTATAGTAATACTGTAAAGATAAAATACATAAAACTTAGTTTAGTGTGCATTACTTATTAGATGCAAAATCAATTATTATACAAGCTTAAATCACAATTTGTGTTAGTCCATTCTCACACTGCTATAAAGAATTGCCTGAGAATGAATAACTTATGAAGAAAAGAGGTTTAATTGACTCACAGTTTCTCAGGCTGTACAGGAGGCATGGCCTCAGGAAATTTACAACTATTGCAGAGGTGAAGGGGAAGGAAGGAAGTGTTATGGCTGGCAAGAGGGGAAAGAGAGAAAGAGAGAGAGAAAGAGATCGGGAAGATGCTACACACTTTAAAACCACCACATCTTGTAAGAACTCTATCACAAGACAGCACTTGGGGGATGATGCAAAACCATTAGTAAACACCTCCTTGATCCAGTCACCTCCCACCAGGCCCCACCTCCATCACTCAAAATCCCAATTCAACACGAGATTTGGGTGGGAACACAGAGCCAAACCCTATCACAATTTGACCTCAATTTTTGTTGTATATTGTGCTTTGAAATCCTTGAATGAAAAGTTGTGCATGAATTCTGACCAATTCAGAAACTTTAGACTAAAGTTCATATTGTACCTATCACTTACTAAAAGAAAAAGAAAAACAGTATGATTGTATTATTCAATGTTATTAGGCATTAACAGGGGGAAGAAGAGTACAGAGATTTCTCATAAGCAAAATTCTTTCTAAATGGAATCTTTTGCAATGTATCCCATGAGGCATCTGTAGGTCTTTAGGGACACAAAACAATTTATTGAAACTTCTGTGCAAATTGAAACTCGTATTTGGAGCAATGCATTAAGAATGTACAGATTATTTATTCATGCTCTTCTCTGAAGGAATTGCAGAGATCACTTTTATTATACAAATGCTCCTTCAGTGATTAAAATCCCTTCTCTCTGACATATGGATGGGAAAGGAATAAAAGCAAGTGCATAAGAAATGAAACCTAGTCTGATAGATAAATTGCATATTCAAGAACGAGGAAAATTGTGTGTGCATGTTATCATATTAAAAAAATAAAATATATTTGGAACGCCTTGAGTTTCCTTCCTCAATAATGAGAGGCACAGAATGAGAATGTTCACTTACAGTAATTTTATCAGCACACCAACAGCGAGGCCAGAATGAATGGTAGACATTACTCTTGCAGAAACATGAATAGGATATCATTTTGATACTACTTTTGCAAACACAGCTAGCAGAGCCAATGTTCATTCTAAACTGCTTGTCAAGGTTTCACAAGAGTCACAACAAATAAAGAAAAAATCCTTGCAATTTAACTAGCTTTTACTGGGAGCTGTAATGTTCCCAGTTCTTTCCTGGGAACATTATCATAAATATAAGAAAAAGAAGTTGACATTTTCCAGTGCTATCAGGTGAGGCTGTGTTAGTTCTGTACTCCACAATTCCAAGGGAGCTAGCCTGAGAGTTCTGACAGTGTTTAAAACATAGGGTTGAGGCTGGGCATGATGGCTCACACCTGTAATCCCAGAACTTTGGGAGGCTGAGGTGAGCAGATCACCTGAGGTCAGGAGTTCAAGACCAGCCCAGCCAACATGGTGAAATCCTGTCTCTACTAAAAATACAAAATTAACCGGATGTGGTGGCAGGTGCCTGTAATCCCAGCTACAAAGGAGGCTGAGACATGAGAATCGCTTGAACCCGGAAGGCAGAGGTTGCAGTGAGCCAAGATCATACCACCGTACTTTAGCCTGATGACAGAGCAAGACTCTGTCTCAAACAGCAACAACAACAACAAAAACAAAACCAAAAATACAAAACATAGGGTTGAGATTTACTTACATGGGGGAGGGGGTCACCTGACTTTGCCACGTAAGGTGTAAACATGGGTAAATTTCTTAACTTTCCAGACTTCATTCATCAAATAAGAATAAAACTACCTACCTCTTACCTTCATTGTGGGGATTAAATGGATTAATTTATTTGAAATATCTAACCCAATATGCTATAGATATGCCATGGTGGTTAATGTCTGTCCTTGGCTTTCCCCAATAGCAGTCTCTGAGACAGGGATTTTGGTGCAAGTTTATTTGAGAAGTAAATCCAAGACACAGAGGGAGAAAAGTTGAGACATGAGACACAGAAGGAAGATAATAAAGGGTGATTTCTTGAGCAGGTGACTGCTATGGGTAACAGTAGAAGCCAACTCACTGGAGAGCACTAAAAGTAGAACAGATTCAGAATTACCTTTCCCCAGAATCAAAGGTGCTGGGGTACTCATCTACCAACTCTCTGTTATTGGTTTAGGATTGATTCCAGAGGCATTAACCTTTCTGCACTTCTAGCCTGCCCTGCATGCTGGCCAAGCTTGCTTCCAAAGACAGAGAAATACCCTTAGGTGGAGAGAATTAAAGGGTTTTCAGTAAGCCGACTACAGAAGCAAGCACTTAGGGCAGGCGTCCCCAAACTTTTTACACAGGGTCCAGTTCACTGTCCCTCAGACCGTTGGAGGGCCGCCACATACTGTGCTCCTCTCACTAACCACCAATGAAAGAGGTGCCCCTTCCTGAAGTGCGGCGGGGGGCCGGATAAATGGCCATAGTTTGGGGATGCTTGCTTAGGGGATATAGACGGAGCTTAAACAGGATCGTGATGACTAAGACTTTATTTAACTTCCCCATGACTCCTTGGTCTCTAGGCTCTCACTGCTTTATGAGGCTTCTGTAATTCAGGTAAAATTTTTCCAATTGTATCCTTTCCATTTGAAAATGGTAGACCAACAAGATTAGAATATATACCATCTGGGTTGAGTGAAATTAGAGGTTTGAGCTTGTACAACAAAACTTTATACACGGTTGACTTGCTAGATGCTCTCAAAGAGTTCACAATTGAATTGAGGAGACTGTACATACACAAGTGAAAACATGTAAGTAAAATGCAATTTAGAAGTTTAAGGCACTAAAGTCAGTGCAATGGCATTTTCTAAGAGGGGAGACAAAAATTAATCACTGAAAAATCTGCTGAAATTCTGAACGCTTTTCATCTAGTGTCATTTGCCATTTTACTTTGAAAATTCAAGGCATCTGAATAGAGCACACTTAGTGTTGATTTGTTGAGTTGTGTGTTGTTTGGCATGATAGTAAAATGGACTAATTGTTCAGTATAGCAGAGTAAAAATGACCAAAGTTTTGATACTGAATTCTTCTGATTTATTATTTTGAAGAGAAAGGAGAGAAGAAAATAGGTTATTTCCCCACTATGGTATGAATAAAGTGTCAAAGCTGAAGGTAAGCATATAAAATTGGAAAAGCTTTTCTGAATATGTAAGTCGTGCTAATTAGAGTAGATAAAAATCAACTAATGAATGTCTAACTTTGTGTGCAGATCTGTGCTTAGAAATGGTGAGATAAGACAAAAACAGAGGCTTTATTGAGGAAAAGACAGACATCTAAGCTCCGCTTCTTATTAGCTGAGCAATCAGGTAACTTAGTTAATCCTTCTGAAGTCTAAATGCATCTTCGCTACAATGGTCAAAATAAGACCTATCTCACAGTAGTGTGAAAATAATATGACGTGTAAATGTAGCATGACATACAAAAGTGTTCGAGGGCATCAACAGATGTACAGGCAACCAAATTGTGGTTTATCTTTACAATAGAATGCCACTCAGCAGTAAAAAGGAATGAAAGACTGATGCAGAAACCAACATGAATTAATCTCAAAGTAAATACACTAGACAGACAATAAGAGTATATACTCTAGGATTCTATTTATATAACATTTTAGAAAATACATAATAATCTATAGTGCTAGAAAGCATATGAGTGATTACCTGAGGATGGAAGAATATGGAGGAGTGAGAGGGCACAAGAAAATTCTGGGGTAAGTGAGATGTTCACTATCTTGATTGTGGTTCTGGCTTCATGGATGTATACATATGTCTAAATTTATTACATTGTGCACTTTAAATACACGCCGTTTATTGCATGCAAACTTTACTACAATAAAGCTGTTGGCAAAACAGTATTAGGTGCTCAGTAAATGTAACTTTCCTTTTCTATGTGTGTGTTTATTGGACCTTAATGGAACTTGCTTGGGATCAAATTTGGTAAGTCCAAATCAGCTGAAGTTATACAGATTTTGTCTGCTTATCACTTCTTTCTTCTTCAAAAGAGCAACAGGATCATCCCTCTTTTGATAAATTTCTTCTCCCTGGCTCAAAAGCACGGTGCTTATTGGTGCTGCCAGTCATACAGACCAAACACTTTGGCCACTTTGGGAACGGCATGTGCAGGGAACACCATGTGGCCCTTTCAGATCCCCTCTACCAAATGCTGTGTGCTCAGCCCCAACTACTTCTTCCTTTTGCTGCAAAGGTTGCACCTGCCACCTTCTTCAGAGGATTGCCCTTGAACTAACAGGGCTTCCTTGCCTATAGAGAGCCAGAGTTTACATCCCCCACCAACCAACAAAGGCCGGCTGTAACCAATGACTGGCGCAGTGTTGCTTTTGCCCAGCTCCCTTGCTGTGAGAGGGGACAAACTCTGACATGCAATTTATGCTCTAAGCTCTCTGTGGGCCAAGGCTGGCACTTCATCTGAAATTGCAGCTTTGACCAGTAATTTTATCTTCCTTATCCTGCCTTCCTATTCCCTTATCATTGTCTACTGAAGAAATTTTCTGAATAAAACCACTTGTATCTGAATCTGATTTCAAACGGCATTGCAACCATCTCTTTGGCCACTGGATTTTATGCAGGAACACGTCTGAGACCCTAGCTGACCTCATGAGACTCTTTTAGATATTTTGAGAACTTGAGCTGGGGCTGTCTTTCCTCTTTGGTCAAAAGAAAGGATGGACATGACATTGGAGCTCCTAGGATCCTCATCTTGACAAAAACAAACAAACAAACAAACAAACAAACAAACAAACAAACTACCTTGAAAGAGGAGTGTCAAACAGAGAAACTCACCAGAGATGAAGTGAGAAACTCCAGATGATGGTTGGGTCCATGATGTCAGATACCTTTCACAACAGCACTCTTTTTCCTTCTGTGGTTGTTCACGCTGACCAATAAACAAAGCATGTACTTTGAGTCATACTCAAACATTTAAAAAGTATTTTTCATACTTTTCAATTGTTCTTAGTAGTTTGATCTGATTTTCTTTGGAATACCAAACTCTCCCCTTGCACAGTGATGAGATGAAATCACACTGGGGCAATTTGGAGCCTAATATTAGGTTTCTTTCATTAAAAATTATACTTGTCCCTGAGACAGAGACAATAACATAAAAAGTCATTGTATTAAGGAAAAGCTGATCTTAATGGCACAGGCTAATGCTGATAGTATAAAAATGACTTCCTGAGAAAGTTTAGCTCACAAATGCTTTGAACCCTTACTAAATCAGATGGATAGCAGGACCACTAATGGCTTGGAGAATTTTCAAATTGAAATTTGCTATTTTGTGCAGAATATTAGAATATTGCTTCCTTGGCTTGGCTAAAATCAAACTAATGACATGAGGATTACTATTTTAATTCACTTAATGATTGCTTGATGAGTTAAAACTTTTTGCTTCCCTCTTGTTATATTTTTAAAAATTAATCCACTCTAAAAGGTGAGATGTATGAAAATAAAACAGTTTATGCAATAATCTCTGTTGTTTTTAGTGTTCTTTTTTAGTGGAGGAAGGAGATGTATCTAGGATTATTAAAGGTCAAAACAGTGACATTGACAATATTAAGTATTACAGTATTTCTGCTCTAAGAACAAATATTTATAACAGTGGTCCTCAACCAGGGGAGATTTTACTCTTCCTTCCCATCTCATGTATTAGTCCATTTTCATGCTGCTAAGAAGAAACATCCAAGACTGGATAATTTATAAAGAAAAAGAGGTTGAATGGACTCACAGTGCCACATGGCTGGGGAAGCCTCACTATCATGGCAGAATGCAAAAGGCATGTACGTCTTACATGGCGGCAGGTAAAAGAGCATGTGCAGGGCAACTTCCCTTCATAAAACCATCAGCTCTGTGAGACTTGTTCACTATCATGAAAGCAGCATGAGAAAAACCCACCCCATAATTCAATTACCTCCCATGACAAGTGGGGATTATGGGAACTACAATTCAAGATGAGATTTGTGTGAAGACACAGCCAAACCATATCACCAACTTCTAGGGAATACTTCGCATTACAGTATCTAGAAAGATTTTTGACTGTCACAGTGCAAAGGAGGGGGCATTTGTTACTGCATATAATGGTAGAGACCAGGAATGTTGCTATATATCCCATAATGGTCCAGCCCAAAAGGACAATAGTGCAGAGAGAATGAAATCCTCATTTACACTCTTGCTACCAAATCTTCTCTTTCTTTCAGGAACAAAGGGGACTACTCTGGCCTGGATTCTAGGTTAAAATGTCAGTCCTTAACCCTCCTAGCCATGTTGTCTAAGGTAAATCACTTTGCTTCTCTGTACATTTCCTTCTAATCTTGTAACAGTGCAAGAGCACTTACCTTTTAGAGCTATTCTGAGAATGAAATGAGGTAGGCACTTCTAGTAAAACTCCTTAGCACATAACATAGATCAACACAGCTTAGCCATTTGTTGTTTTTGTTATGACAAGTAGAAGTTTGGGCAGGTACAGAAGATGAAGCAAGAGGCTAGGCTTGGTGGCTCACACCTGTAATCCTAGCACTTTTGGAGGCCAAGGCAGGTCATCACTTGAGGTCAGGAGTTCAAGGCCAGCCTGGACAACATGGTAAAAACCCATCTCTACTTAAAAAAACAAAAATTAGTTGGGCATTGTGGTGAGTACGTGCCTGTAATCTCAGCTACTTGGGAGGCTGAGGTAGGAGAATCACTTGAACCCAGGAGGTGGAGGTTGCAGTGAGCAGGGTTTGTGCCACTGCACTCCAGCCTGGGCAATGGAGTGAGACTCTGTCTCCAAATTTCTTTGGGCTGTTTTGATTAACCCATTTTAACACTATATATATTTTAGTGTAGCTTAAACAATAAAAATATTAGAATTTCATTTTAAAAATTGCTGTATATCTTCTACCACAGACATCCTTACTCATTCTTAAGCCCTAGCTTTGCCTTTCTCTTTAATCCCAGAACCTTTCATTCTTCCCTCATTTTAAACCTATCCCCATCTTCATCTTTTTTTAAAAATAACTTGAACTTTTATTTTAGATTCAGGGGGTGCATGTGCATTTAGAGGTGTGTGTTCCATGGTTATATTGCGTGATGCCGAGGTTTTGGGTATGAATGAGCCCATCACCTAGGTAGTGAGCATAGTACCCAATAGGTAGTTTTTCATCCCTTGTCCCTTTTCCTCTCTCCCCTTCTAGTACTTCTCCATGTCTATGGTTTCCATCTATATGTCCATGTGTACCCAATACTTAACTCCAACTTGTAAGTGAGAACATGTACTATCTGGCTTTCCTGTGTTAATTTGCTTAGGATAATGGTCTCCAGCAGTATCCATGTTGTTTCAAAGGAAATGATTCTTTTTTATGGCTACGTAGTATTCCACAGTGTACCTGTACCATATTTTCTTTATTCAATCCACCACTGAAGGACACCTAAGTTAATTCCACGTTTTTGCTATTGTGAACTGTGCTATGATGAACTTCAGTTAACTATTCTTTCCCCAGCTTTCCCTGCATTCCTAAACTCCATGGGTTTTAAAGCAAAGTTCCAAGCAGGTTATAAGCTCAGGCAGTATAAGATCATGGAGGTCTATAGGGCAAATTTTGTCAACATCTTTGCCTTTGTTTAGTCTTCTTTTTAAAAAATTATGTTTTGTTGTTGTTATTGTTTATTTATTTATTTTTTTTTTTTGAGATAGAGTCTTACTCTGCCACCCAGGCTAGAGTGCAGTGGTGTGATCTTGGCTCACTGCAACCTCTGCCTCCTGGATAGGAACAATTCTCCTGCTTCAGCCTCCCATGTAGCTGGGATTACAGGTGCGTGCCACCACGCCCTGATAATTTTTGTATTTTTAGTAGAGATGGGGTTTTGCCATGTTGGCCAGGCTGGTCTTGAACTCCTGACCTTAGGTGATCCACCCATCTCAGCCTTCCAGAGTGCTGGGATTATAGGCATGAGCCACCACACCTGGCCAAAAATTGTTTTTATTTGACTGCCTTTAGACAGACACATACTTGTTACTAAAGTCCCCATGACTCCTTAGTCCCTTGTTTGGCTTATACTTTATTCATTTAGGTTTCCTTGCTTTGTCTCCTGAAGGCAACTGGGTTTAGATGCTGCCAGAGGTTAGAGGTGGAGGACTTGACTATAAGAAGGACTGAGGAAGGCTACTGGAAAGAGGTAAGCACTGCAGCAGTGGGCACAGGAAGGTGGAGGAAAGAGCAGAATTCTGGACAGGACAAAAGCAGTGAACACCTGTGCCAAAGTAGAATGTATATGGCCTTTTCTGAGGACAAACACTATCACAGTCTGGGTAAACAAACCATCAGTGCAGGAGAGCCATTGCACAGACAGTCAGAAACATATTTTTAAGCCAGAAGTTCTATAGCTTGAAGCACTAGGTGGAAGAATTTGGATTTCATTTGTAGTAACAGAACATATTACAGTAAAAAGAAAAAAAAGTAACAAAAATAATCTTTTAATTTTTTTTAGAAAAATAGATTTTATTTTTCTGATCAATTTGTGTTCATTGTAGAAAGTTTAGAAAACAATAAAGGAAATGAAAATCACCCCACCCACCTCCTTGTCTTCAAATTATTTATAGTTACTCTCTCCCTCACACACACACACACACACACACACACACACACACACACTTTTAAAAACAAAATTTAGAATCATTATACAATTTTTAGTCTACTTTAAAAATCTCATACATCAACAGTATTTTTCTAAGTTGTTAAACTTATTAACTATTTTTTAAAAATATTGTATCTGATATAATTGCAAAAGTAAGCAAAGATCTTTGTTCATTGCAACATTATTTGTAAAACCAAAAACCTACTAAATATGAAAACAATGTGAATATACTTTAATAGGAGCAACTGATGACTTCACTAATATTTGCTGAACATTTACTGTGTGCCAGGCACTGCTCTAGTCAGTGGGAATGCAATAGCAAACAAAGCAGACAGATTATTTGCACACATTGATCTTACATATTAATGAGTTTATATTATGGTGCAGGGGTTGGCAAACTTTTTCTGTAAAGGGCTGCATATTACATGTTTTTAGTTGTATGGTTTCCAGGGCAACTACTGAATTCTACCATCGCAGCTGGAAAGCAGCCATAGACAATACATACACCAATGGGTATTGCTGAGTTCCAATAAAACTTTATAAAGATAGGCAGTAAGCTAGATATATATGTAGCTATAGATATAGATTATAGATTTATAAAGAGAAAATGTATGAACAGACAATATATAGATAGAATAATTGATTAGAGGCTTTAAACTATCCTAGGATCTGACTATATTAACATATTGCCAAATTATCCCTTAGAAGGATGTAACAATTAAATTTGTACTTCTACCAACAAGTAGAAGAGGGCTCACTGCCTCCACATTGTACCCACATTGGGCATTTTTATTTAATTATTTAAAAATGTACAACTTCAACAGGCAGCTTTTTTTTTTTTTTTTTTTTTTTTTTTTTTTTTTTTTTTGCATTTCTTCAATGCAATCAGTGAAGTTGGCCATTTTTTCTTGTTTATGGGTCACTTCTTTTTTTCTTGTTTATTCTCATCCTTTGAGATTATCATTCTATTTTTAGTTTTTCTTTTTATAAGAGTTTCTAGATACTTAATATTTTCATGTAAAAATTTCACTTTTTTCAACCTCAGCTAGATGATAAAAATTTAAAAGCAAAATTTACTTTAGTCTCCCTCTATTTTTTTTTCCCTTGTGGAGTTATGAACTTAACTCTTCTGGAAACTCTTCCACTAACTTTGATCTGAGGTTATTTCAAATTTTTAAGGTAGAATTTTTGAAAGGAAACTTGCAGAGGTTTTTAGCTTGGAGATATCTCTCCAGGCAGGTTCTTCTTTGTGAGGACTAAACTCCTCTT